AGTGGTCTAACCAAAGCAGAATAGAGCATGGGGAGCATGACTTCCCTAGATCTAGACACTAGGCTCTTGTTGATGTAGGCCAAAATCCCATTGGCTTTTTTTGCCGCCACATCACATTCCTGGCTCATGTTCTCCTTCTTCCCCACGAGGTCTCCAAGATCTTTTCCACAGGTACTGCTCTCGAGCCAGGCCTCGTCGTCCCCCATTCTGTATCCTTGCATTTCGTTTTTTCTGCCAAAGTGGAGTGTCTTGCATTTGTCCCTGTTGAACTTCATTTTGTTAGTTTTGGCCCTTCATCTCTCTAATCTGTCAAGATCGTTTTGAATCCTGCTCCTGTCCACCCCATTGAGCTTGTTACGCAGTGCGTGTTTAATCCAGCGACCTAACGCCCAAAAACCCAGATGCAAAATAGTCTCAGACCAATCGCCAAGGTAAACAGAAAATCTTTACTCTCTTTACTTTGCAGAGATAAAACAAAACTGGCAATGCAGCACACACAAAAACAGCAATGTATCTACACAGTCTTTGTAATATGCATAAAATCAAGCATCTTCTAAGCAGCAAATGGGAAATCAAAACAACCTGAAGTAAATAGCCATTTCACCATCAGCATCTCCTGCTGTATATTTTGTCATCATCATCATCATCATTTAATAACTTATTGATCGCCCTCCATCCGAGAATGCTCCAGGCGATTTACAGCTAAATTGTAAAAGATAAAATACATACATACATACAAAAATTAAAAATTAACAGAGATTGAATGCTCTAGTACAAAGCCAGGTCTGAAGTGCCAGAGTAAAAGGTCCTAAGTCCCGCATGGCTCTCATGTAGGGCGGCAAGGAGTCCCACAATAAGGCAGGAAGGGCAGAAATGGAGAAAGCCCTCCTGCGCCTGGTCCTTTCCAAGTGCCCTTCTCTAGGACCCGGTCTATGGAGTAAGTCACGTTGGGCTGGTCGTTGCGACCTCCGATGATGGGAGAAGGAGAGGCAGTCCCTAAGGTACGATGGACCCTGGCCGTAAAGAGTTTTAAAGGTCAGAACTAGCATCTTAGACAGGCCACAGTGGGACTCAGTTGGAAGCCAATGTAAGTGTTGCAGCACTGGCGTTATATGGCATTTCATGGGCGTTCTTGTGAGTAACCTGACTGCCGCGTTCTGAACAATACGAAGCTTTCGGGTCGTAGACATCGGAAGGCCCACATACAGGGCGTTGCAGTAGTCCAGCCTAGACGTGACCGTGGCATGGGTGACCGTTGCCAGAGCCTCATCAGATAGGGAGGGTGCACGTTGCCTCACTTGACGTAGGTAGAAAAAGGCCTGTTTGCTGGCAGCAGCCACTTGAGCTTCCATTGTCAGCTGCGAATCCAAAACGACACCCAAGCTCTTAACGGTAGACGAAGGAGATAGGGCGGCACCATCGAAGGTGGGCAACGGAGGAGTCAGACCTGCCGAGCGGCCATGCCAGAGAATCTCAGTCTTCGCCGGGTTCACCTTCAGTCTGCTAGCACGTAGCCAGTTCGACAGAGCTTCCAGACATCGGGTGAAATTGTCTGGAATTGACGTTGCTCCAGGCTCCAGGCGCAGAAGGAGTTGGGTATTGTCCGCATATTGGTAGCAGTCCAGGCTGAAACTCCGAGCCAAACTAGCAAGGGGTCTAACATAGATGTTGAAGAGAAGAGGAGAGAGAATTGCATCTTGGGAGACCCCACATAGGAGGGGGGATCTATCGGAGACTTGATCCATGTACTCCACGCGTGGACTCCGATTCCGGAGAAATGAGTTGAACCAATTGAGGGCCTGACCGCGAACTCCGGAGATGGCAAGACGGTGAATCATTAGATCGTAGTCGACGGTGTCAAACGCTGCGGTAAGGTCGAGAAGTACCAGTAGCGCGGATCCACCGTTGTCAGACTGGCGGCGGAGTTCATCCGTAATGGCAACGGAACTCCAGCAGCAGCCCACCAGAAATCCAACACCCACCTGAAATCGCTGGATTTCAGTTGGGTCTTGGATTTCTGGTGGGCTGCTGCTGGAGTTCTGTTTCACCAGTGTGGAGCTCCAGCAGGAGATGCTGATGGTGAAATGGCTATTTACCCACCAGAAATCCAACACCCACCAGAATGTATTCAAAAAAGCTCTAACAGTTATAACCCCTTGGGTGTGGCACAAGATTGCTGCTTGACCTACTTAGCCAACTGAACAGGATAATTACAAACAGGAAGGGTTTTCTTCACACATATACTTGTGTATATACTTGAACAGACTGGTTCAAGATTGGGAAAGGCGTCCGGCAAGGCTGCATCCTCTCACCCAACCTTTTTAACTTGTATGCAGAACACATCATGCGATGTGCGGGGCTTGAGGAATGCAAAGCTGGGGTGAAAATTGCTGGAAGAAACATTAACAACCTCAGATATGCAGATGACACCACTCCGATGGCCGAAAGCGAGGAGGAGCTGAGGAGCCTTCTAATCAAGGTGAAAGAAGAAAGCGCAAAAGCTGGGTTGCAGCTAAAAAAAAAAAACCAAGATTATGGCAACAAGAATGATTGACAACTGGGAAATAGAGGGAGAAAACGTGGAGGCCGTGACAGACTTTGTATTTCTAGGTGCAAAGATTACTGCAGATGCAGACTGTGGCCAGGAAATCAGAAGACGCTTCCTTCTTGGGAGGAGAGCAATGTCCAGTCTCGATAAAATAGTGAAGAGTAGAGACATCAGACTGGCAACAAAGATCCATTGCCTAGTCAAAGCCATGGTCTTCCCTGTAGTCACCTACGGATGTGAGAGCTGGACCTTAGGGAAGGCTGAGCGAAGGAAGATCGATGCTTTTGAGCTGTGGTGTTGGAGGAAAGTTCTGAGAGTGCCTTGGACTGCGAGATGATCCAACCAGTCCATCCTCCAGGAAATAAAGCCCGACTGCTCATTGGAGGGAAGGATACTAGAGACAAAGTTGAAGTACTTTGGCCACATCATGAGGAGACAGGAAAGCCTAGAGAAGACAATGATGCTGGGGAAAGTGGAAGGCAAAAGTAAGAGGGGCCGACCAAGGGCAAGATGGATGGATGGCATCCTTGAAGTGACTGGACTGACCTTGAAGGAGCTGGGGGTGGTAACGGCCGACAGGGAGCTCTGGCGTGGGCTGGTCCATGAGGTCACAAAGAGTCGGAGACGACTGAACGAATGAACAACAAATACTTGTGTCCTGCGAGGACTTACCGTAACAGTGTTGGCAGGCCAAGAGGGCCAAACCGCATTCCTTCTGCAGTGTAGACGCTCCTTTAGTTTAGGTTTCTCAGGAGCCAATCCTCCCTGAATGCCTCCCTCCGCATCCGTTTAGAAGCGGCCGCTTCAGGAAGTAAAGTGGTTTTAATTGATTTGTAGGTTCTGTTCTATTTTAATATTTTTAGGTATGTGATAGATTTAAAATTGTGTTACAGTGTTCCCTCACCTATCGCGGGGGTTCCGTTTCAGGAACTCCTGCGATAACTGAAAAACCGCGATGTAGGGACGCTGTATATGTACAGTAAAACCCACTGGACAAATTGACACCAAATTTGGCCACAAGGCGCCTATCAGGCCAAAGAGTGACCATTGCTCATAACACACAGCAGAAAGGACTTTAAAAACCCAAAAAACCAAAAAGACATTATAGCGCATGCATGAAAATGATTCCCTGACACCGGCCCCCTCCATTTGTACTTGAGCCAAGTGTGAATGTTGCAATTGCCCCCCTGGATTACCTTTGAATCACCTTGCACCTTAACAACAGTTTTGTTGCACTCCAGGTCCAGAAGAAGCCCTCAGACTTAAAACACACCACACAGAGCAGTGAAGAATCACATCTTCTTTTATTAAAACTTAGTAAATAGCCAGAAGAAATAAATGCTTGCAAGAAAATCAGAAAGTTCCAAAAAGTATTAGTCCATAAACAGCAGTAACCCAAAGCAATGTCCACACAAGAAATATAGGCAATCCAAGACAGCATTAATCCGGACAGGAGTCAAGCAAGATGCAAAGACAATCCAAAAGGCCAAAAAACTCCACAGGAACAAGATCCCTTGAACAAGACTTCCATGGCACAAGAACTTGGTTTCCAAACAATGCCTGATCTGACAAGATTTTCTACAGGCAAACCTTAAATCCCAAAAACTGGTTTCGTTTTCCATCTGAACATTAGGAAGAACTTCCTGACTGTGAGAGCCATTCAGCAGTGGAACTCTCTGCCCCGGAGTGTGGTGGAGGATCCTTCTTTGGAAGCTTTTAAACAGAGGCTGGATGGCCATCTGTCAGGGGTGATTTGAATGCAATATTCCTGCTTCTTGGCTGGGGTTGGACTGGATGGCCCATGAGGTCTCTTCCAACTCTTTGATTCTATGATTCCCCCAGGCAGCAACTTAAATTGACAAATTCTTTCAGATCTACGTAAACATTGGGCCTCTTGTTGATTCTGGCTAATCTCCAGCCACCGACTCTGCTTATCCGACTCCTCATTAACTTTACCAGGTGTCAGACTGTTTTCCAAACTAGAATCTAGATTGCTCACAGGCAGAGGGAGTAAACCTTTCTCCCAAGGCCTGACAGAAACATTCTCATGAGAATCTGCCCTTTGCACCGAAGCCTCTCTGTCAGTGTCTGCATGAAACTCATTGACCAAAGTGTCTCCATCTTGCAACTCAGTGTCAGGCCCAGCATCCCCCACATCAGAAGCAACAGGGGACTGATTTCCCTTCCCATTACCCACATCAGACACAGAAACAACAGGAAACTGGAACACAATCACAGGTTCAAGCCCATGGTCAGGTTCAAGCACAGGCTGAGTCCCAACAACTAGCTTCTACCTGTCAGCAGGAAATCTTTGGTGAGACAAGTTCTCTAGCTTAGATTGTTCCATGTCAGGAAATCTTCTGTTTTCTGAGGGCCACAGCAACGGGTGGGCAGGTACAGCTAGTAGATAACAACAACAACAACACAATAATAAAACCCTTTCTTCCTGCAGGCCATGGAGAGCAAGCTGCTGATCGGAGGGAGGAACATCATGGACCACACAAACGAGCAGCAGAAGATGCTGGAGCTCAAGCGCCAAGAGATTGCCGAACAGGTAAGGATCCAGGACCCTGCTTGGGTAGAAGGTTTTGGGGTGCAGCTGCACCGTCCCAGGAATGCCGCTTGGCCCCCTTGAACTGCCCTGGCTCAGTGCTGCAGAATCACAGGAGTCCCGGTTGGATGAGGCCTTCAGCCTGTTCTGCCCCTGGAAACTACAGGATTTTGTCAGCACCGATTGTTTTTAAGTGCAGGCCACGGTCTTTAGTCCATGCGTGCAGTATGCCGATCACCACTGGGCCCCCCTTGACTAGCTTGTGCCAAAGTCTTTGCAGTTCGATCTTGAAATCCTCATATCGTATTGCTACTACAACTACAACTACTACTACTACTATAGAGGTGGTGGTCCAAGCAGCTACCTTTCCCAAAGCTTTGGGCCTGAGTTAGTCTTTGGAGAATGGGACCCAGCGGCTGATGTTTGGGGGATTCTGGGAGTGGTTGTCCCAGGAAAATAACTTTTTTAAAAGTTCTGACCTGGGACGTGAGGTCCCTTAATGCTGGCTGATGGGGGGGGGGGGGTTTCTATGAACGATCATACACACAGGTCACCTTTTGAAGGTCGTGTCCAGCTCTGGTCAGGCCTTCCCCTCTGGCCTAGTGGCTGGAGGATCCTGAGCGTGGTTGTCCCCCAACACGTAACGTAACGGGCCATTCTGCTCCTCACCTGTGGCTGATGTTGGGGGCATTCTAGGGATTGCCTTCACCAAAAGGAACTCTTTGGCAATGATATCGAGCCTGAATTTGGGAGAGTCTCCCCGGTAGAAGAGACTCCTAGGACCGCACCAAAGAGAGTCCCTTGTCCTTGGCGAGCCGTCAGAAGAAGCCTGATTCCGGTAATTTTATTGATATTAATAATTGAAATGAGACTCTTGCCAAGGCGAAGAAGTGGCACCGAGGTTTATTAGCGATTCCGCTGAAGCGGATGCAATTGCAGTGATCATTCACATGCAAGCATACCAGTACATTGATCAGAGGCATGTTTATAGCAAAATACAGGTTTGAAAGTTTCAAAACTCCCTCCCTCTTCGGCTCCTGAGCAAATCAGGGAGAGGGAGGCAGGACGGAAGAGGGACATTGTGTCCAGAGAGGATGATGAGATTCCACTATCCTGTGCCCGGGGGATCAGGCAGTCAAGGAAACTAGTTTTTTTGTTCTTGTGATGAATCAGTGATTAGGGATAATCATTTGATTCAGGTTTTCCCCTTCCAGGATCAGATAAGGTGTGTTGGGTTTTTGGATGAAACAAACAGAGCCGGGCAAGAAGACCCCTGCGGCCAGTCTCGCCCCTTTGTGATTAAATTAAAATGTGACCAGAGAAATTCCCTGTTTACCAGGCCAACTCAGAAAAATAAACAAAGAATTTCCAGTTGCTATTGTCCATGCAAATGTCTGTGATAAGGTTGGTTTCGAGGGAACAACAGCCCCCTCGGGCACTGAGTGGTTTTTCCTGGTCGCCTTTTTGGGGCAAAGGGCAAGGGTAAAGGGGGCAAAAGATATTTCATAGCAAGATACATACATTCAAATCATAAGCATTTCATAGCAACAAAACCCCATCTTTGTCCCACATCCCAAGTATATTTAATAAGAGGATTAATTTTCATGAAGAAGCCTGAAGTCCAATGTTTTAAAAGGTCTTTGAGGAAAGTTCATGAGGGAGATAGTATGTACTGAAGTCCAAGACATGCAGGCAGAGAGTCCATGATCATTGGGAAGGCTGGCAGATGAAACCCCAGCTGTGCTGCAACTGATTCACACTTTGGTCCTTGGGAAACTACAACTCTCACGAAGGGCAGAAGTCCCAAGATCCAGCCGTTTCCCAAAAGCCTCGTGGGGTCCTTGTTGTTGTCAATGCCTTGGCAATGTGACCAAGACTTAACCCCCTATTGTGCAGTCTGGTGCCCTTGCCCTTTGCAGGGCTAGGTGCTCGGCTTCAGCAGTGCTGTCCATCAGTGGTCAGCCAGCCTTCCTCTCTGGCCGCCCTGCATCATGGCACTGACCAAGGGGGTTTGGGGGTGTCTCGATCCGCAGAAGCGCCGCGAGCGCGAGATCCAGCAGCAGATGCTCCTGCGCAACGAGGAGACCACAGAGCTGCGGGAGACCTTCACCTCCTTGCAGCAGGAAGTGGAGATCAAGACCAAGAAGCTGAAGAAGGTGAGCGGTCAGTGAGGGGAGGGGAGGGGGAGGCGGTCAGGGGTCCTGCGTCTCCCTTGCATTGGGTCAGCGGGCCCCCAGCACCATGATGGTCTCTCCGGCCATCCCTGGAGAGACCACCTCTGTAGGGATGCCTGTGCCTTCCTGTGTCATTCTGGAGGGTCAGTGGGGGCCCTTTGCACATGCTCACAAACTCCTTGTCCTCCCTCTTCCTCCCTCCTAGCTCTACGCCAAGCTCCAGGCGGTGAAGGCCGAGATCCAGGACCAGCACGACGAATACATCCGCGTCCGGCAAGACCTGGAGGAGGCCCAGAACGAGCAGACCAGGGAGCTCAAGCTCAAGTGGGTGCCAGGCCCCGAACCCCCCGCCGTCCATTAGATTTGGGGAGCTCACTTGTTAGAGTTGGAAAAGGGATATACTCAAGTGTCAGTGACACATGCAGGAGACTCCACTGAGGCCTCTACTGAGGCCACAAAGTGACCAGTCTGCTCCTGTGCAGATCTGCCACTCTCCATAGGTACACCATCTCTCTCCTTCCCATGGAGTAGAGCATGGTGGGTGGAACAGACTCCTCAGGTCTGCCACACTTTGGGCATCATTAGAATGAGTCTTTTATAGGAATATTCTGTTGATGTCATCCCAAAGTTGTAAATGAATGATAGACGTCTTCCATCCTGGCTCCATCCCAGAATGGGGGACGATGCGTGGCTCGGAAAAGATATCGGAGTCCTCGTGGGGAGGAAGGGGAACATAAGCCAGGAATGTGATGTGGTGGCAAAAAAAGCTAACAGGATATTGGCCTGCATCAATAGGAGTCTCGTGTCTAGGTCCAGGGAGGTCATGCTCCCCATGCTCCAATCTGCCTTGGTCAGACCACACCTGGAATATTGTGTCCCGTTCTGGGCACCACAAGTGAAGGGAGATATTGACAAGCTGGAATGTGTCCAGAGGAGGGTGACTCAAAGCATCAAGGGTCTGGAGAACAAGCCCTATGAGGAGCGGCTTAAGGAGGTGGGCATGTTTAGCCTGAAGAAGAGAAAGCTGAGAGGAGACATGATGAGGACCATAGATAAATATTTGAGGAGAAGTCCTAGGGAGGAGGGAGAAGGCTTCCTTTCTGCTGCCCTGGAGGCTATGACACAATGGAGTCATGGCTTCAAACTACCGTATATTCTGGCATATAAGACTACTTTTTAACCCAAGAAAATCTTCTCAAAAGTCAGGGATCGTCTTATAAGCGCAGGAGTCGTCTTATACGCTGGAGTAGCCTTATGAATGGGAGTCGTCTTATAGAGCGGGTGCTGAAACTTCCAATCTGGATTGGAGGATCTGTGGTTGCTGCATATTGTGGGGGAGCTCTAAAATGGCAGTGGCCACGTCCCTGCCGTATGCAATGACTTTATGAAAGCATTAAGGGTGATGCTGTACAAGTAGGTTACAAGAAAATCCATTCATCAGGATTTGTGGACTTAATGCGGTCCTGATGGTGAGGTGAAGGGGTGCCTCACCGGGAAGGTGTAAGTCAGTGTTTCTCAACTTGGGGGTCAGGACCCCTGGGGGGGGGTCATGAGGGGGTGTCAGAGGGGTCACCAGATACCATCAGAAAACACAGTATTTTCTGTTGGTTCTGGGGGTTCTGTGTGGAAAGTTTGGCCCAATTCTATCGTTGGTGGAGTTCAGAATGCTCCTTGATTGTATATGAACTATAAATCCCAGCAACTACAACTCCCAAATGTCAAGGTCTATTTTCCCCAAACTCCACCAGTGTTCACATTTGGGCATATTGAGTATTTGTGCCAAGTTTGGTCCAGACCCATCATTGTTTGAGTCCACAGTGCTCTCTGGATGTAGGTGAACTACAACTCCAAAACTCAAGATCAATGCCCACCAAACCCTTCCAGTATTTTCTGTTGGTCATGGGAGTTCTGTGTGCCAAGTTTGGTTCAATTCCATCGTTGGTAGAGTTCAGAATGCTCTTTGATTGTAGGTGAACTATAAATCCCAGCAACTACAACTACAAAATGATAAAAAAAAAATTTTTAGTGACGGTCAAAAAAACCCCCAGTAACTACAACTCCCAAGTGACAAAATCACCCCCCAACCCCTCCAGTATTCAAATTTGGGTGTATCGGGTATTTGTGCCGAACAGTGAATGAGAATACATCCCTGTATATCAGATGTTTACATGACGATTCAGAACAGTAGCAAAATTCCAGTTATGAAGTAGCAATGAAAATAATGTTATGGTTGGGGGTCAACACAACATAAGGAACTGGATTAAGGGGTCGTGACATTAGGAAGGTTGAGAACCTCTGGTGCAAGTGAAGGGCGGGGCAAGCTGCACGTGTCTGGGTGCCCGGGGCATGGAAAAAAGAGATGGAGTGGCTCTGGGCCCAGAAAAACACGCCTCTTTTACCTGTCTGGCCCGCCCTTGCATCCTATTACCGTCCCTCCTTCTCTGCCTCTCAGATCTCGCTCCTGAAGACTGCGGTGAAGTGGCAGGTGCAGGATCTGAGAGGCAGAGAAGGAGGGACGGTAATAGGAAAATTACCATATTGAAATAAAAACTGATTCTTTTTAAATTTTTATTTTGTGTTCGTTAGGGTAGTCACCGGGATTGTGGTGCAGCAGGCTGAGTGTCAGCGGCATTAAGATCACTCTGACCAAAAGGTCATGAGTTCGAAGCCAGCCGGGTTGGAGTGGGTTTCCAACCAATTGTGTGTAGCCTGTTGTCGACCTTTGCAACCCGAAAGACAGTTGCATCTGTCAAGTAGGAAAATAAGGTACCACCTTAAAGTGTGGGGAGGCTAAATTAACTGATTTATGAGTCCATAAAGAAGACTCCAGCAAAGCATTCCAGCGGGGAAGCATGCGGGGAATGCGGAAGCGCTTCATCACGTCGCAGATGGACGATGAAAGCGACAGAAAACGTTAAAAATAGCCTCTGTGTATGTCTGTATATGTTTGTATGTCGAAAATTGGCATTGAATGTTTGCCATATATGTGTACACTGTAATCTGCCCTGAGTCCCCTGCGGGGTGAGGAGAAGGGCGGAACATAAAAGCTGTAAATAAATAAATAAATAAATAAATAAATAAATAAATAAACCAAAGGGGGGGGGGTACAAGAAAGGAGATTCTACCTGAACACGAGGAAGAACACACCAGGGCAGAGAGTTCCACTGCTGAACAACTCTCATAGTCAGGAAGTTCTTCCTCATGTTCAGGTGGCATCTCCTTCCTTTGTTGTCGTTTGAAGCCATGGCATCCTAGTCTCCAAAGCAGCAGAAAGGAAGCCTGCTCCCTCCTCCCTGTGACTTCCCTGGCTTCATCTCTTGATTCTCGGCCCTCCACATGTCTCCTCTCAGCCTTCTCTCTTTTGAAAGGAACGACATCCTTGCGTATCATATGACTTTTGCAAATACATGATTAATTCAAAACTCAAACTACAAAAGAGGAGATTCCACCTGAACATGAGGAAGAACTTCCTGACTGCGGGATCTGAGAGGCAGAGAAGGAGGGACAGTAATAGGAAATAGGAAAATCAAATCTGATGCTTTTTAAATTTTTATTTTGTGTTCATTGGGATAGTCTTATATCCCAGACTCTATTTGGGGGGGGGGGGGGGTTACAAGAAAGGAGATTCCACCTGAACATGAGGAACAACACACCAGGGCAGAGAGTTCCACTGCTGAAACGCAGGGAGGAGGGAGCAAGCTTGCTTTCTGCTTCCTTGGAGACTAGAACGCGAAACAATGGCTTCAAACTACAAGAAAGGAGATTCCATCTGAACATGAGGAAGAACTTCCTGACTGTGAGAGCCGTTCAGCAGTGGAACTCTCTGCCCCGGAGTGTGGTGGAGGCTCCTTCTTTGGAAGCTTTTAAACAGAGGCTGGATAGCCATCTGTCAGGGGTGATTTGAATGCAATATTCCTGCTTCTTGGCAGGGGTTGGACTGGATGGCCCATGAGGTCTCTTCCAACTCTTTGATTCTAGGATTCTTCTTCAAGCTAAACATGCCCAGCTCTTTAAGCCGCTCCTCATAGGGCTTGTTCTCTAGCCCCTTGATCCTTTGAGCCACCCTCCTCTGGACACATTCCAATTTGGTGATGATGAGGATGAAGAGGAGGAGGAGGACAACGACTCACCTGGTGTCCCACTCTCCTTCTGCTTCCCCAGGTACCTGATCATTGAGAACTTCATTCCTCCGGAGGAGAAGAACAAGATCATGAACCGGCTCTACTTCGACTGCGAGGAGGACCAGTGGAAGTTCCAGCCTTTGGTGCTGAGCGCGGCTGGGTGAGTGAGTCCCTGCCAGGAAGGCTCCCTTGCAAGGCCTCCGTTGCAGCCATGGGCCTCACGACTCTGCAAACGTTTCCTTTCGAAATTCCAAAACTCATTCCATCGTCTGAGAAGGAGTCTGTCGCTGCTTGCAGCGGCGGAAAAGTAACTTCTAAACTGCTTGTAACTGTTGTGGGGGGGGGGGGGAATCAAACCACTTAATTTGGAAATGTAACTTCGCTCAACCTTTATTTACCCCAAAGGAACCAATTACAAGTCACGGAGCAACTTTTGAAAGTAACTACATTTTTGCATATCATATGACTTTTGAAAATACATGATTAATTCAAAATTAGTTAATCCCCAGTTAATTACAAATACATTACTAGCAGATATTCTCAAACTGCTTGTAACTGTTGTGGGGTGAACCAAAGCACTTACTTTGGAAATGTAACTTCGTTTAACTCTTATTTACTCCGAAGGAACTAATTACAAGTCACAGAGCAACTTTTGAAAGTAACTACATCCTTGCATATCATCTGACTTTTGCAAGTACATGATTAATTCAAAGCTCATGAATCCCAAAACAGTTAATTACAAATATGTTACTAGCAAATATTCTCAAACTACTTGTAACTGTTGTGGGGTGAACCAAACCAGTTACTTTGGAAATGTAACTTTGTTCAACCCTTATTTACCCTGAAGGAACTAATTACAACTCATGGAGCAACTTTTGAAAGTAACTACCTTTTTGCATATCATATGACTTTTGCAAACACATGATTAATTCAAACTTCATTAATCCCCAAACAGTTAATTACAAATATGTTACTAGAATACAAATATTCTCAAACTGCTTATAACTGTTGTGGGGTGAATCAAACCAGTTACTTTAGAAATGTAACTTCATTCAACCCTTATTTACCCCAAAGGAACTAATTATAACTCACAGAGCAACTTTTGAAAGTAACTACCTTTTTGCATATCATATGATTTTTTTGCAAGTACATGAATAATTCAAAATTAGTTAATCCCCAAACACTTAATTACAAATATGTTACTCAAACTGCTTGTAACTGCTGTGAGGTGAACCAAACCAGTTACTTTGGAAATGTAACTCGGTTCAACACTTTTTTACCGCGAAGGAACTAATTACAAGTCACAGAGCAACTTTTGAAACTAACTACATTTTTGCATATCATATGATTTTTGCAAGTACATGATTAATTCAAACTTCGTTAATCCCCAAACAGTTAATTACAAATATATTACTAGCAGATATTCCCAAACTGCTTGTAACTGTTGTGGGGTGAACCAAACCACTTACTTTGGAAATGTAACTTCGTTCAACTCTTATTTACTCCGAAGGAACTAATTACAAGTCACACAGCAACTTTTGAAAGTAACTACATTTTTGCATATCTTATGACTTTTGCAAACACGTGATTAGTTCAAACTTCATTAATCCCCAGACAGTTAATTACAAATATGTTACTAGAATACAAATATTCCCAAACTGCTTGTAACTATTGTGGGGTGAACCAAACCACTTACTTTGGAAATGTAACTCGGTTCAACACTTTTTTACCGCGAAGGAACTAATTACAAGTCACAGAGCAACTTTTGAAAGTAACTACATTTTTGCATATCATATAACTTTTGCAATTACATGATTAATTCAACATTTGTTAATCCCCAAACAGTTAATTACAAATATGTTACTAGCAGATTATATTATTTTTGGGTATGTAAATTCATTCTGCCGTAATTCACCCCAAAATAACTGCGTACAAGTAATTGACGTTTGAAAGTAACTACATTTTTGGATGTGATATAACTTTGGGGATAAATTAATTCCAGCCTCATTAATTGCAAAACAGATAATTACAAGTATGTTACTACTAGACCTCACTACCTCTGAGGATGCTTGCCATAGATGCAGGCGAAATGTCAGGAGCGAATGCCTCTAGAACATGGCCATATAGCCCAAAGAAAACTACAACAATGCCTATGTTACTAGTAGTTTGTATTCTTTTGGAGAAGTAACTTAATTTCACCCTTGTTCACCACAAAGTAACTAGTTACAAGTAAGTAGTTACAAGTAACTAGTTACAAGTAGTTTGTATTCTTTTGGACAAGTAATTTAGTTTCACCCTTGTTCATTGCAAAGTAACTAGTTGCAAGTAACTAGTTGCAAGTCTGTATTCTTTTGGACAAGTAATTTAATTTCACCCTTGCTCACTGCAAAGTAACTAGTTACAAGTAACTACAAGTAACTAGTTACAAGTAACTAGTTACAAGTAGTTTGTATTCTTTTGGACAAGTAATTTAGTTTCACCCTTGTTCATTGCAAATTAACTAGTTGCAAGTAACTAGTTGCAAGTCTGTATTCTTTTGGACAGTAATTTAATTTCACCCTTGCTCACTGCAAAGTAACTAGTTACAAGTAAGTAGTTGCAAGTAACTAGTTACAAGTAGTTTGTATTATTGTAGTTTGTATTATTTTGGACAAGTAATTTAGTTACAAATTATTTTGGACAAGTAATTTAGTTACAAATAATAAATAAATAAATAATTTAGTTTCACCCTTGTTCATTGCAAAGTAACTAGTTGCAAGTAACTAGTTGCAAGTCTGTATTCTTTTGGACAAGTAATTAAATTTCACCCTTGTTCACTGCAAAGTAACTAGTTGCAAGTAACTAGTTGCAAGTCTGTATTCTTTTGGACAAGTAATTAAATTTCACCCTTGTTCACTGCAAAGTAACTAGTTACAAGTAAGTAGTTGCAAGTAACTAGTTACAAGTAACTACCCACCAAATGAAGACCTTTTCATTCAGGCAGAGCATTCAATGGATGAAGCAGTGATGTTGATGCAACGTGTTCTGCTGTATTTTCTTTCAAATCTTCAGGTTTTAAATGTGTTTTTAACTGTTTTACTCTCTTGAGAACGTAATGCTGTCATTTAATTCCTTTTCCAACTTTTGCAAAGACGAGAGAGAGAGAGAGATTTGAACTGGAACTTGGTCTAAATGCCTCGGATCTCACCCAAAAGAACGCATGATCTTGACCCACGAACTAACGGCTCCGTGTCCTCCCTTTCTTTTAGCCCGAGACCCACGAAGGCTCAGATCAAGTTAAAAACAAGGTACACGAAAACAAGGGGGAAATGGAGAAAGTAACTACATTTAGCATTCCGCCAACCGTTGCGCTAAAAGCAACGAATCACAGCAGTTAAAAACACATTTAAGTTTAGTCCAGAAGTAGAACGCACCGCATGTCAACATCATCTTCCTGCTGCAAACATTTCAAAGCCAAAGGCCTTCTTCCTGGGGTGCATCTGCACTGCAGAATTAATGCAGTTCGGCACCACTTGAACTGCCAAGGCTCAACGCTATGGGATCATGGGATTTGTAGTTTGCGCTGGTTGTCAGAGCAGACCCAAGGCCTTGCAAAAACGACAACTCCCATCCTTCCCTTGCCTTGAGCCAGGGCACTTCATAATAATAATAATAATAATAATAATAATAATAATAATGAGTCAGTGTGGGCACACCCCAAAATATAAAGGTCTTCTGGGAGAAAGGGGGACAAGGGGGTTTCCTACAGCAGGGAGTTCCATAGGTTGGGTGGATCTAAACCTTCAATCTCTAGCCATGGCAGTGCCTTATGAGCCCCACTGGTTTTGTGGGTGAAGGGGAGGGGGGTCCCTGTCAGTCAAGAGGGTCTCCCAAAACAGGACCTCGTTGGCTTCCCAGCCCCATTTCCTTGAGTGGAAGGGGGTCCTCATAAGATGGGGAGGGGTCTCCCAAAACAAGACCTCATTGTCTTCCCAGCCATATTCCTTTGGGTGGAAGGGGGTCCCCATAAGAAGGGGAGGGGTCTTCCAAAACAGGGCCTCATTGGCTTCCCTGCCCTATTCCTTTGGATTGAAGGGGGTCCCCATAAGTAGGGGAGGGGTCTCCCAAACAAGATCTCATTGGCTTCCCTGCCCTATTCCTTTGGGTGGAAGGGGGTCCCCATAAGAAGTGGGGGGGGGTCTCCCAAAACAGGGCCTCATTGGCTTCCCTGCCCTATTCCTTTGGGTGGAAGGGGGTCCCCATAAGAAGTGGGGGGGGGTCTCCCAAAACAGGGCCTCATTGGCTTCCCTGCCCTATTCCTTTGGGTGGAAGGGGGTCCCCATAAGAAGGGGAGGGGTCTCCCAAAACAGGGCCTCATTGGCTTCCCTGCCCTATTCCTTTGGATTGAAGGGGGTCCCCATAAGTAGGGGAGGGGTCTCCCAAACAAGATCTCATTGGCTTCCCTGCCCTATTCCTTTGGGTGGAAGGGGGTCCCCATAAGAAGTGGGGGGGGGTCTCCCAAAACAGGGCCTCATTGGCTTCCCTGCCCTATTCCTTTGGGTGGAAGGGGGTCCCCATAAGAAGTGGGGGGGTCTCCCAAAACAGGGCCTCATTGGCTTCCCTGCCCTATTCCTTTGGATTGAAGGGGGTCCCCATAAAAAGGGGAGGGGTCTCCAAAAACAAGACCTCATTGTCTTCCCAGCCCTATTCCTTTGAGTTTCAGAGGGTCTCCATAATAAGGGGGGGGGTCTCCCAAAACAGAGCCTTCTTTTCTACTTTGTGGAATGAACAGGGGGTCTCCCAAAATAGGAATCCTCTCAAGCAGCCCCCCTCTTTGTTATCCACACCCTTTCTTGTGCATTAAAGAGGGGGGGGGTCCCCATAAAATGGGTTCCCCTGCAAAACAGACCCTCCTTTTCCACTCAGCCCCTTTTGTGTGGGGTGAAGAGGGGTCCCCATAAGCTCAAGGGACTCTCAAAACAGATTCCTGTTTTGGGGTGAAGTAGACCCTCCCTCTTCTTCTGCTCAGCCTGTTCCCTGTGGGGGTGAAGAGGGGGCTCCCCATTGGGGTTGTGGGTCCCACGCAAGGCGTGGCTGTGGGGTGAACGTAGGCCAACCCAAGTTCTGACCCTGCCTCCCTTTCCTCAGCAACAGCAGCGTCAACGGTGCCCTCAGCAGCAACGCGGGGGCCACGCAGATGAAGCGCCGCCCGGCCTCCGCCGTGGGCTACAAGCGGCCCATCAGCCAGTACGCCCGGCTGGCCATGTCCATGGGCTCCCACCCACGCTACCGGGTGAGTCAGGGAGGCCTCGAGCAAGGGCACACATGCGGGGGGGGGGGATCTCCCTCTTTTCCAGGCCTGGGCCAACTTGGGCCCCCTCTCCAGGTGTTTTGGACTTAAACTCCCACAATTCCTAACAACCTTCCGACTGTTAGGAATTGTGGGAGTTGAAGTCCAAAACACCTGTGTTATAGAGCTAAAATTTAGGGGTCTTTGCCAGGAGGCAGAGACCAATTAGACTCATCAAAGAGTTCTTTTCCCCTGGCGAGACAGAGAAGCATCCCATATTTTTCCCTGATTTCCCAATGAAAAGTCTCACCAGTTGAAGAAAAGCCATCGAGGTTTAATGCGATTCAACTGGATCATTCGCCAAAGCTAAGCATGAGGGGAGTACACCAATACAGTCATATTTATAGCAAATTCAAAGTTGCAGAGTTCAAACTCCCCGCCCCGGCTTCCCTGTTGTTCCCCGACGTGATTGGGCGATGGGCGAACAGCTGGGAGGCGGCCCTCCCGCCCCCGGCGCCTCTGGACCAATCAGGAAGCTCCAGCGGTCCGTAGGATCCAATGGGGAGATCTCTGCCACCTGGTGGCAACAGCAAATCAGGAGAGGGAGGCAGGATGAGGGAACACAATAGAGTCTATGAGTGAGTTTTGAAAAAAAAAAAGGAAATGCCATGTGGCCTGCGAGACAAAGGAAAAGTCTCAAAACAGGGCTAGTCTATTGTCCCTTGAGTGGCATGTGTGAGGAAAGACCAGATTTTTCCAGGCCAGCAAACAGGAAAACAATGAAGATAAGGCTGAAGTGATTGTTCTTTGATGAATATACAGTAAAATTTAATCAGTGCGGAGGTGAGGGCTTTCCTAAGGCCCACTGATCTCCAGATAGGGAAATGGCCAGGGGTCTGCCAGGGGGCAAACAGCATTGTTGGGCAAACCTCCAAAAACAAAGCCATCTGCCAGTCTATTTTCCATGCAAAGGAAACCGTGGATTAGGGTCTTTGGAATGTCTGGAGCTCTGCAGTCCCTTGGTGGGATTTCCTCATGAGTATAGGGGAATAAAAGGTCAATAAAAAAGGGAAAAGCCTTTGCCACGAGGAAATCATGAAATATATATTATGTGTCCATAGTTCATATTATTCATAGGAAGGTCCATAAAGGGAAATATCCATGAGGGGGAAAGAGAGTCCCTTGTTTGTGAGATGGGGGACCCTCAGTAGCCCAGGTGTGCCTCAGGTGGAAAAATTCAGATACTTTTGTGGCATGATTTTCAGTGATAAATGGGTTACCTTCTGCTATAAACATATGAAAATAGGGCACAAAGCCTTGGTTAAATGATACACAAACTGACCAAGGCTTAACCCTTATTATCCAGCCTGGTGTCCTTGCCCTTAGCAAAACTTTAAGTTGCTCTCTCTAATGGGGGGTCATGTTCCACTTCACCTGGAGAGATAAAGACCCCCCAAGTGGCCCCTTCCCGAGGCTGCCTCCTTCACGGCCTCCCTTTGGGCCGCGTCTCGCTTGGCTCCCTCCCGCAGGCCGAGAACATCATGTTCCTGGAGCTGGACGTCTCCCCGCCGACCATCTTTGAGTTCGAGGTCACGCGCGACCCTGCAGAGCAGGACCCCCGGGCGCTGCACCTGGAGCGCCTCACCCGCCTGGACAGCCTCCTGGAGCCGCCGGCCGCCTCCCGCGTCCGGAAGTCCCGCTCCTGGTGAGCCGACACCGAGGGGACCTGCCTTCTGTGTATCGCAGTGTTTCTCAACCTGGGGGTCGGGACCCCTGTAGGGGTCGCAAGGAGAGGTCAGAGGGGTCACCAAAGACCATCAGAAGGCACAGTATTTTCCGTTGGTCTTGAGGGTTCCATATGGGAAGTTTGGCCCAATTCTGTCCTTGGTGAGGTTCGAAATGTTCCCAAATGTCAAGGTCTATTTCCCCCCAAACTCCACCAGTGTTCACATATGGGAACATTGTGCCAAGTTTGGTCCAGATCCATCATTGCTTGAGTCCACAGTGCTCTCTGGATGTAGGTGAACTACAACTCCCAAACTCAAGGTCAATGCCCACCAAACCCTTCCAATATTTTCTCTTGGTCATGGGAGTTCTGTGTGCCAAGTTTGGTTCAATTCCATCGTTGATGGAGTTCAGAATGCTCTTTGATGGTAGGTGAACTATAAATCCCAGCAACTACAACTCCCAAATGTCAAGGTCTTTTTCCCAAACTCCACGAGTGTTCACATTTGGGCATATTGAGTATTTGTGCGAAGTTTGGTCCAGATCCATCATTGTTTGAGTCCACAGTGTTCTCTGGATGTAGGTGAACTACAACTCCCAAACTCAAGGTCAATGTCCACCAAACCCTTCCAGTATTTTCTGTTGGTCATGGGAGTTCTGTGTGCCAAGTTTGGTTCAATTCCATCGTTGATGGAGTTCAGGATGATCTTTGATTGTAGGTGAACTATAAATCCCAGCAACTACATCCCAAATGTCAAGGTCTATTTTCCCCAAACTCCACCAGTGTTCACATTTGGGCACATTGAGTATCTGTGCCAAGTTTGCTTGGGTCCACAGTGCTCTCTGAATGTAGGTGAACTTCAACTCCAAAACTCAAAGTCAATGCCCACTAAACCCTTCCAATATTTTCTCTTGGTCATGGGAGTTCTGTGTGCCAAGTTGGGTTGAATTCCATCGTTGGTGGAGTTCAGAATGCTCATTGATTGGAGGTGGACTATAAATCCCAGCAACTACCACTCCCAAATCCCAACATCAATTCCCTTCCTCAAGCCCACCAGTATTCAAATTTGGGTGCATTGGGTACTTGTGCCAAATTTGGTCCAATGAATTAAAATACATCCTGCATATGTTGGGGGTCACCACAACATGAAGAACTGTACGAAGGGGTCGTGACATTAGGAAGGTTGAGAAACACTGGTGTATCGGAATGGGGATATGTGTTTTGCTCATGGGGAGGCTGCCCTTGGGGCCACCATGGAGCGGCCAAAGTCCAGCAAGGAGGGCAGCCCATGGGGAGGGGGCCAAAGGGGACATTGGTTCTTTCCTCCCACCGACCCCACAGGTAGAGATACTCCACTTGCTTGATTTATTTCTTTGTTTATTTGTTTAGGACGTTTATATTCCGCCCTATCTCACCTCCACAGAGGGACTCAGGGCAGCGAACAACCGGCACAGCATAGTGCCCACAATAAGAAAAGCATATTATTATTGTTACATCCCGAATAGACTACTGCAACGCACTCTACGTGGGGTTGCCCTTGAAGGCTGTTCGGAAACTTCAACTGGTCCAGCAAGCGGCAGCCAGATTGCTCACCGGAGCGTCATACAGGGAGCACACCACCCCCCTGCTGTGCCAGCTCCACTGGCTGCCGGTTCAGTTCCAAGCACAATTCAAGGTGCTGGTTTTGATCTACAAAACCCTGTACGGTTCCGGTCCAGTGTATCTGTCCGAACGTATCTCCCTCTACGTCCCACCCCGGAGTCTGTGATCATCTGGGGGGGCCCTGCTCTCAACCCCGCCTCTATCATAAGTGAGGCTGGTGGGTACGAGGAGCAGGGCCTTCTCAGTGGTGGCCCCTCGCCTGTGGAACTCACTCCCGGGGGAAGTTAGGGCATCAACATCCCTCCTCTCCTTCAGAAGGAAAGTAAAGACGTGGTTGTGGGACCAGGCCTTCGGGCAATCTGACAACTAGATAAGGACAAGCAGACGAATAGGACTGACAGGACTGACAATTGTGGAATTGGAATTTGAACTATGAGGTAGCGAATGCTGACCGTCAATGAGGAGAAATTGGTTTCTTTTTGGTTTGTATTGGTTTTATGGTTGTAATGCAAGAATTGTTGTTAATTGTTAATTGATGTTATTTTGTCTTATTGTTGTTATGTGGTGCGGGCATCAAATTGTGCCTTGCTTTTGTAAGCCGCCCTGAGTCCCCTTCGGGGTGAGAAGGGTGGGGTAGAAGCAACCGAAATAAATAAATAAATAAATAAATATTATTATTTTATTTATTTGCAGCATTTCTATTCCGCCCTTCTCCTCACCCCGCAGGGGACTCAGGGCGGATTACCGTATACACATATATGGCAAACATTCAATGCCAATTTTTGACATACAAACATATACAGACATACACAGAGGCTATTTAACTTTTTCTGGTCGCCAGGGGAGCTGTCGCTTCCATTGTCCACCTGCGATGCTGATGAAGCGCTTCCGCATTCCCCGCATGCTTCCCCGCTGGAATGCTTTGCTGGAGTCTTCTTTATGGCCTCACAAATCAGTTAATTTAGCCTCCCCACACTTTAAGGTGGTACCTTATTTTCCTACTTGACAGATGCAGCTGTCTTTCAGGTTGCAAAGGTCGACAACAGGCTACACACGATTGGTTGGAAACCCACTCCAACCCGGGCTGGCTTCGAACTCATGACCTTTTGGTCAGTGATCTTAATGCAGCTGCGCCACAATCCCGGTGCATAAATAGACACAATATAATAAAAACAGTATAAAAACAATATAAAAACATTAAATACAAAGCCGAATTCAGGAGAAAGGGGGCTGATCTAATATCCCTAGGGAGGGCATTCCACAGCCGAGGGGCCGTCACCGAGAAGGCCCTGTCTCTCGTCCCCACCAAACGCGGCTGCGATGGTGGTGGGACTGAGAGCAGGGCCTTGCTGGATGATCTTAAGGTCCTGATGGTTCTTAGAGGGAGATACGTTTGGACAGGTCAGCTGGGCTGAATCCATTTAGGGCGTTATAGGCTAACACCAGCATTTTGAATTGTGCCCGGTAGCAAACTGGCAGCCAGTGGGGCTGGCGCAACAGAGGAGTTGTATGCTCCCTGAGCGCCACTCCCGTTAGCAACCTGGCTGCTGCCTGCTGGACTATTTGAAGCTTCCGAACAGTCTTCAAAGGCAACCCCACATAGAGTGTGTTGCAGTAATCTATACAGGATGTAAACAGAGCTCCCGTTAGCAACCTGGCTGCTGCCAACTGGACCATATGAAGCTTCCAAACAGTCTTCAAAGGCAAGCCCACGTAGAGGGTGTTGCAGTAGTCTATACGGGATGTAAACAGAGCTCCCGTTAGCAACCTGGCTGCTGCCTGCTGGACTATTCGAAGCTTCCTAACAGTCTTCAAAGGCAACCCCACGTAGAGGGTGTTGCAGTAGTCTATACGGGATGTAAACAGAGCTCCCGTTAGCAACCTGGCTGTTGCCTGCTGGACCATTTGAAGCTTCCGAACGGTCTTCAAAGGCAACCCCACGTAGAGTGTGTTGCAGTAGTCTATACGGGATGTAAACAGAGCTCCCGTTAGCAACCTGGCTGTTGCCTGCTGGACCATTTGAAGCTTCCGAACGGTCTTCAAAGGCAACCCCACGTAGAGTGTGTTGCAGTAGTCTATACGGGATGTAAACAGAGCTCCCGTTAGCAACCTGGCTGCTGCCAGCTGGACCATATGAAGCTTCCAAACAGTCTTCAAAGGCAAGCCCACGTAGAGGGTGTTGCAGTAGTCTATACGGGATGTAAACAGAGCTCCCGTTAGCAACCTGGCTGCTGCCAGCTGGACTATTTGAAGCTTCCGAACAGTCTTCAAGGGCAACCCCACATAGAGTGTGTAGCAGTAGTCTATTCGGGGATGTAAACAGAGCGTGGACTACCGTGGCCGTGGGATGCTCTAGTTCTGCTCCATTCTTTTTCTTCTTCTTCCATGACCTTCTCTCTCTCTCTCTGGCTTCCTCTGCAGGGTCCAGGCTCCTCGCTCCCTGCCCTCGTCAACCAGCCACGTCTCGCTGACCTCCGGCTCACAGACCCCTCCCACGGTGGTGGCAGCAGCAGCAGCAGTAGTGGCTCATCAGTAGTGTCTGTCCCCCCACCCACCCACCCCCCAATCCCCTTCCCTTTGTACTGGGGAAGGGCCCCTCCCTCTTCTCCCCACCCTCCGTGGTCCAGGGAGGGTCTCCCCTGCACTAACTCTCCCCTGTCTGTAGCTCCCTCTATCTATGTCTGTCTGTCCATCCGTCTGTCTGTCTGTCTGTCGGAGGAGGAGATGGCTCCGGGGGGGGGGGGGGGGTGCCCTCCTTGGATCTCTCCACTCTATTTATTTAACATATTTATTTATGGTGTGTCTTCGTGATGATGATGATGATGATGATGATGATGATGATGATGATGATGATGGGGGTGGTGGTGGTGGTGTTAGACTGAGTGGTGCCCCTCTTCGGCCAATGCACAATGTTCCTAGAAGGCAACCTTGGCTTTCTCCTCCATCCTGTGGATATTCAGAGCACATTCTTTGGGGAAGAGGCCGCTGAATATGATGCGCTGGGCGGCCGCAGTGGTTCATAGGGGTCCTCCCACCCCACCCCACCCCACCCCAACTCCTTTTCTCAGAGATACTGGGAGTCGTAGTCGGCCTTGCGGCGTGCGTGTCCTTCTGCAGGAACTCATCTCCTCTCCCACCTTCTGACCCCAAATCCCATAGAACAGACTCCCTGTTTGCACAGAAAGAACCTGGGATCCCATTGTGGAAATGCTGCATGAGGGCGAGGTGGGGTGTTGGCATTACTCCATGCTCCTCTCCCTCCCCCCCATGACAGAGCGCCCTCTCCCTCCGTCCCTTGACAGAAACAACATGGCTCAAGCACTGAGCTTCTGGTCATCCACTGTCATGTGTCATGTTCTGCAGCTGATGGTGGTTGGTGGTGGTAGGCCTAGCAGTTGGTGATGGGTTGAGTAAACTGTAAGTAAGACTTCATGGGTGAAAGCAATTAAGGGTGGAGGCATTCAAGAGATAGGCTGCAGCTGGGTGTTTCTGGGTATAAAGAGCTAGCCTTGGGTCTGATCTTCGGGAGAAAAGTATTCTATCACGATGCCAGGGCTCTGCCTTATTCAGGTAGAGATGAACCAAACAAACTCCCAGTTTGTGTTAAACAATTTAATTAAAACAACTCACCTCCTCGCCTACCTTCTGCCCCCAAATCCCATAGAACAGGCTTCTGGTTTGCACATAAAGTACTGGGCTCCCATTGCGGAAATGCTGCATGAGGGTGGGGTGGGATGTTGGC